CCAGTCGCACTCGGCATGTGTCCAACCCCCCCGCTGTGTCAAGAAATGACGGATAAAAAACAACTGTCTGTTACTGTGACTCTTCCACATCTCCACAGTAATGCTCCATTTAAATTATCCAAATCTTTTTCCTCTGTTCAGCCATAAACCCTCAACACAATTTTCATATAACATTTTATCTGAAGTAACTCACGTTTTTACATTTCATGTTTTTACATCTGAATAGAAAAACTTTTCAGTGTTAGTTAAAAACACTAGAAATTTTATATTTAGCCATTAGAAGTGCCCCATTTTTATGATCGTTGATAGAAACCACCAAACATCAATCGCACATAAGATGGACTGAGAAGAAATACTTGTTTTAGAAATATGTGTCTGAGTTTGGTTAAACTTTTCATTTGCATGAGCTTTGGACTTTTTTTTAAATAAAATGTGCAGCAATGTTCAAATAAATTTGTTATTTTTTATATTTTCTTTCTGCAGAAGTTGTATTTAGAAGAACAGAGAATTTGTCATTTGGGCCTCTCTTAATTATGGTCAAGGCTCTATTTTGGGTCGTGCCTTGTTTGCACTGTATATGTTGCCACTGGGATCTATTCATTTAAGAGAGCGAGCCAAGGTAAAGCCATACCTTCCTGGTGATGTCTTTGAATGTGTTATTCATGTGTTCATTACTTGCAGACTGGACTACTCCAATTCTCGGTACTTTAGTTTGGACCAGGCCTCTCTTTATCGTCTCCATCTGGTCCAAAATGCAGGTGCTCGTCTGCTGCCTGGCACTAAACTGAAGCAGAATGTTGGCCTCTCTACACTGCTCGAACATTTTAAATCGTTACTAAAAGACATGTTTTTATGGTCTGGCTTTTAACACAGATTGAACTAAACATTTTGGTTTTAACAGCCTTAGTTGTTGTTGTTCTAGTTGTTTTTATTGACTTTATTTGTTTGTTTTGCAATATTTTACTGAATCACTGTTGTGCATTTTAGTTATTTTAGTGGCATTTTACATTGTTAAGCACTGTTGGTAATGTGCTATATAAGTAAACCTGACATTGACCTTAGTCAAGCTTCCAGTGACTAAACATCTCTCTTCCATTTCTTCTCCACATAAATGGACTACTCAGATACAAATATATGGCAGGTAGGGTTAGAGATGCCCGTGAAGGCTAATTCACGCCTATGGATGGAATTCAGGGCTGGCTTTAATATTCATAGTTGTTCCACTTTGGCTTTCCAGCCCCTTTCATTCGTTTATATGAGTCAGTGCATCAGTCAGTGCTGAACAAAAATGACCTCGTGGCTTCAGCTTGTGATTTATATAAAAAGAAGATCTTAAAGGTGTTTTTTTCACACTTGATAACTTCTTTTAATGAAATGATGAAAATTTCATTTCTGACAAATACTGGGCTACCCCTGCTGTACTTTGTTACTCAGAGAAAAAAAACAGCTGAGCATGAGGGAGTCAACCTGGAACTTTTTTTCAGATTTGTTTTCATTTTTTTTTCCTGTGGAATGACCCAAAACCACCTTTACACACACAGCTGACACAAATCACTGAGGTGCCATTCAGAGATAGTATTTCACGCACTCCGAGTTCAGGTGTGCTTCTTTCAGGTCACCGGTCACTCAACATCTCAAAATCTACTCTCCACCCTGTTTTCCTACAGCATCAGCCCCTCAGACCAACATCTGACCGCTGCTGAATAAAATGCAGATCACATTAAGTGTGTGAGATGGAAAAAGAAGTGAATCAAATAATGAAATAATTTCTTTTTCAATTTCTGAAATCCATGTCAGCCAAAGACAGCACATTCTGTTTGTGACTGTGATGGGGAAAAAAGCTGATTACTTTGGATCACCGAGCAAAATTGGTGCAAATCTGAAAGAAATACAGAAGGAAATTACTTATTGTTAAGAAAAAAATAGTCATGAAACAAAAGTAATGAGTAAATTATGTTAATATTTTTTTTAAAAATGATAATACAAAACATTTTTCAACCATTTATCCACAAATCTACCCATTCATTCATTCATTCATTCATTCATATCCTACAGACACTTTTCTCACTAATGTTTGCAGAAACAGGACTAAGGAGTTGGTCTAAACACTGTTTTATCTCTCTAATAGCTTAATTGTTGTCAGTGTCATTGAAGTGTTCACATGCAACATGCAGACCTGCTGATTCACTGGCAACAAGCTTGAAAATAGGTCTTTACACAGCATGGAGCTGTCACTGTGGGTTGTGAGTGACTTTAATTGTGATAAAATGTGAAAATGCTCACTTCAGACAGTGCTTGAAAAGCAGTCTGTTTACTCTGCAGGCAGTTTGGATACAGGGAGCTCTGTGGTGATGTAACATAGCCTGAGACGCCCATGTTGGAGGTCATTGGTTGTTGGTTAAAAGCGACTCCAAGAAGCTCTGACTAGGACTCGTCATTGCTTCCCATTAGGAATAAAACAAGAAAAATACAGATGATTCCTTTTAAAATCTATTGATCTAAAGGCTTTTTAAGTCAGTTCAATTTGGTTTACAATAATAAACGTATTGTAAATTTAACAAACAGCTTATGGGAACTCCACAGTTGTTGTTCTTAACAGCTTCCTACACTGCCTGGTCTGGCTTTGTCTCAGTAAAGACTCCCTCTCCAGCTCATCCTTGGGAACACATTCCCAGGCCAGGTCTGCTCTGGGCCCTTCTTTTGGCAGGACATTCCCAAACCACGACTGCTTTCAATGTCAAGGAGGCTCCACACTGAGCCTCTTTTGAGTGACTGAACTCCTCACCTTATCTCTGGGAGAGTGCAACCACCGAATCACAGACAAATCTAATTTTTCTCGCTTGTGACTGTGATGTGATTCTTTTGGTCACTTCACAGATCTCATGGCCATAGCTGAGAGTAGGAAGGTAGATGGATGGTAAATCTACAGTTTTGCGTTCACGTTTAGCTATTTCTTTCCTATAGTAGACCTTTACAGGATCTGTATAACTGCAGAGTGTTTGTCAATCTCCAGCTCCACTTTCAGTGGCAGTAACTCATGCCTGAACTATTCTTCTGGCTTGGAGATGCTAATTCTCATTCCCAGCTCCTGACTCTGTGCTGCAGACTGCCCCAGTCCACGCTGGAGGTCACTGCACGCTGAGGCTAGAAGATCATTTACAAGAGCAGAAATGTGATCCCTCCATCACATGGTTATACCTAGAAACTCTGCATCCCTGGCAGAGTCCAACTCTTACCAGATTCATGTCTGACTTAATGCCAACACTATGAACCAGCAAATTACTCTGAACCTTACATTTGAGGTGAGATTCATCTTCTGCAGACTGAACTTTCATGCACATCATCAGAATCAGCAGAACCCAAACAAAGGCCAGACACAATGTGAGGCCTATATTTATTCCCTTGTTTTTATTCTCCGTAGAAATGTAATCCTGTTTCAATAACCTGCTATTATTCCCTCAGAGCTCTTGTACAGGTTTCACTTACAGCTGTTCATCCTAAATCCTGTGGAGGTGTTTGTGCTGTTTTACCCAAACAGACTGCAGGCTGTCTCTTTTCACTCTTTATAACCACACAAGGGACACATGACAATAAATATGTGTGAAGTCATAAAATATGTGTGTTCTGCATTTACAGAACATATTGTACATATTGTAGTGTTTGTATTCTTTTAGCAATTAGCTAATGTGTGTGTCTGTGCGTGTGTGACACAGCTACCTGTGTTCATGAGCATGAAAAGCAGACGGTACAGAGGGATGACCTCCACCGCCATCTGTGATTCTGTGGCAGCCTGCCACCCTGCTAACAGCGAAACCTCCATCCATCCATCTGGCAGTGGACACATACCTGTGTCAGGATTTTTCACATTAATTTAAAGTTCATTTTTGTCTGATCTGTCAGACATTCAGTGACTTCATACTCAACTCATACTACACAATATTTACTATTGACATTCATAATCTTGTTATTACCGTCAACGTGCGTGTGTGTGCGCGCGCACATGTGTGTGGTTTCAACCAACACTGTTATGTGTATATCTGATCAACTTTACCTCTTGATTCTTATTTCATCATATCAGGGTTTCTTTGGCTGCAGGTGGTTTTGTGCTTTGAAATTCAATATCTGGGAAAGCATGGGATTCTTGGTTTGAATGATAAATATCACAAAGATGCACTTTCATTTGACTTTGAAGCCACTGGTCAGAAAACAGAAGCAAAGTGAACAGAAACCTGTGTATATTCATGAAGGTGAAGCCTGACTGTACCTCTGCATTGAAAACTCCTTTAAGAAAAAAATCAATGCAAAGAAGAATAAATTAAAATACAAGGCAAACAATAACTCCATCGCCCCTGCATGGACCCTGTGTGGTATAAAGTGTATCAAATGAAAGGCAGTGCCACAAGCATGATGAATGGGGAAACTGTTGCCAGCATTGCCTTGGACATAACCTCAAGGTTTTCCAGAACTCAATCAGTTTGATGAAACAAGTTTGAGATACCAATGTTTACAATATATGAAATAAACTGTACACTGTAAATCAAATATATACACATCTTCAGCCAGCTGCACACTGAAGAGCTCTTTTTTCTGGGAGAAATTGGCAGACATTTATCAATGAACCCTACATTGCACAGAACATGATAGAAACAAATGTTTAAGTATTTTGGACGTCTCTCTCAACTGTGTCTGTGTTGTGAGTTTGGCTGCTGCAAATCAGCTAGGAACAAATATGCAGTTCATAGCTCTCACTATGATTTAAACCCTTATTCTGTTTAGGTTAGTGTTTAAGATATGTAGATATATTATAAAATTTGATAAGATTGTCATATGGTAGCTAACGGTATCAAGATTGAACTTTTCAAAGGTGTTTCCTTTTTTTAAATCTCTCCACAGAGAAAAAATCTGCCCTTCTCTTCAGATTCCATATGTTCTGTATTTATCTAGTTAAACTTCCATTAATATTCCATCCGTCCGTTTTCTGCTGCTTATCTGGGTTCGGCTTACGGCGCCAGCAGTCTGAGCAAAGAGGCCCAGACTTCCCTCACCCTCGGCACCTGCTCTAGCTCATCGAGGGGGGAGACCGAAACGTTCCCGAACAAGCCGAGAAATATAATCTCTCCAACGAATCCTGGGTCTGCTCTGGGGCCTCCTCCTTCTGCTAGGATATTCCCAGGATACCTCACCTATGAGACATCCAGGAGGCATCCTAGTCAGATCGGACCAGCAGCGGCTCTACTCCAAGTCCCTCAGCCCATTTCTAAGAGAGATTCCAGAGACTCTTTGAAGGAAACTTATTTCTGCCACTTGCAATCACAACCTCATTCTTTTGGTCTCCACCCAGAGCTCATGACCATAGGTGAGGGTAGGGACATCTACTCTCCCCTCAATTGAGAACAAAACTCAGAGGGACTTGAAATTACTAACAATTGGACCAGCACATTATCCCTGACCCGGAATGGCCTTTCCACCTGTTTCTGGCTGAGAACCATGGTTTCGGACTCAGAGGTGCTAATTCCCATTCTCATTCTTGCAAACCTGCAAGCTGGAGGTTACCACCTGACGAACTCAACACAGCAATACAAACCAAACTCTCACTACGATTTTACAGGGACTGAATGGCCTGTAACAACTAGCCAGACACCCTATATTTCTGAAGCTTGAGCGTTTGATTGCTTTTTCCAAGTCCACAAAACACATGTAGACTGTTTGGGGAAACTCCCACACACATTCGAATATCCTTGAGAGGATAAAGTGATGGTCCAGCATTCCACAACCAGGTCAAAACCCACTTTGTCCTTCCTGAAACTCTTTTCCAGCACCCTGGCATAAACTTTCTCAGATAGGATGAAGACTGTGATCGCTCTGTAGTTGGAGCACACCCTTCTTGAACAGGGGAACCACCATCCCAGTCTGCCAGTCCATAGGCACCGCAATGCAAGATTGCAGAGACATGTCAGCCAGGACAGCCCTACAACATTCAGAGGCTTCAGGAAATCTCATCCACCACAGGGGCCCCGCCGCTGTGCCATAGTTTAACCACGTCCGCGACTTCACCCACAGATAAACTTAGTGTAACATTTTTTAAATACTTTGCAGAGATCCGTGGTGCCCCAAAGCTCCAGTTGAAACAGTGCTGGACACCAAGAGAAACAGTCTGATCTGCAGGACTGCAGCAACAATAGCGACCAGGTGAGAGCAGTTTGTCTGTTTGGAAGCACTTGGTTCTTTTGGAAAAGATTAATTTGATGGTGGCCAGTGTGACAAAATGTGCCAAGCGGTCCTGATCAAGAATGAAACCAGGGCACCACCAAAGGACATGTTGTGTGTCCGGGAGGCGAAAATGAGGACGGGCTGCGCGTGGTGCTGATGTGTGTGCAGGTGTGAACCTGTGTGCTTATCTGTATTAAAAGGTGACTGGCCCAGTAAAAGAATCAACTTGAAGGAGACACACAGAGATTGGATTGTGTGTGTGTGTGTGTGTGTGTGTGTGTGTGTGTGTGTGTGTGTGTGTGTGTGTGTGTGTGTGTGTGTGTGTGTGTTAGAAAGAGAGTGAGAGAGAGGGCGAGTGAGTGTGTGAGATGGAGTATCAGAGTGACAATAGCGTTTGACAGTTTAGCCCCACGGTGTTTGAATATAATGGCCTGTGTGTTGCTGGCTGCTGGCTCAGTTCTCACCTTTGCTCTCATGCATACCAATGGGCAGCCATTCTCATTCATGGGCTGTGCAAACTGACTGAGTCAAGGGCAAACATGCTTATGCAGTGCAGGGGAAAAGAATTAATCTGAAAGAGTAAGGAGACTCTGGTTGCAGCTCAGTGCATTTAATGAGTATTTATGCCATCTAATGGAATACAAAGCATGGAATGAATATTTGGGGGAAACCAGCTAGCTGCACTAGCATAAACATACAGCAGGACATCGGTGGCCTCGTTTAAAGAGAGATCAATGCTGAGAGTCTAACCCTGCATTACGTTTTCATTTTAAACCTATAACTGCTTCTACTTTTTCTCTGGCATTTTATGGCCACTGAAACAGATTAAACCTGGGGGCTGCGTTTTAGTCTGGAAACAATAAACACCCCACTGAACGAGCATGTTTGTCAGTGCCTGCTTTGTTATAGCCTCATCTTAGTTAGACAAGGCTATAACACATTTTTAAGAGTATCCTTGACTACCGATTAATTCAAAATGGATGAAGAATAAAACATCATTGACCTTGTTGTCTGTGCTAGCAGCTGTTTTTTTTCTCATGCTCCTAGCTTTCAGGTATGTTTGAATGAATTCTTAACTGGTACTTGAATCTCATCTGAGCACAAATCTTTAATAACAAAAGCAGATTCCTTTGTTTCACACTAACGGAAACATCAGACTGAGACTAGAAACGTTTCACATTCTCCTGCTGAAATATAATTAGCATGGGGAAGATGAAGCAGTAATAATCTTTGACCCGAGTTACCTGCATCAATTATGAAGAGAAGGCACAGAAAGGTTATTTCCAGACAAATCATCATCTCTCTCTGCTACTTCGTTTACAGCAGTTTTACTTTCCTTTCACCGACATTCCGGTTAGCGGTCTCTCAAATGAAACCATTTCTATCTGGCACAAAATTAATCATCAAGAAAAGATGCACTAATTTGTTTACTACTTCCCCCTTTTTGTTCATCTTAATAGTTTTTTTGATTTGTTGTTTGGGATTTCTCTGATGCTTTTTACAGTCTGACCTTGGATGTGGAATTCTTGTAGCCTTGTTTCATTTCTATCTAATCAAAAGCAAAACAAACAAAAAAAATGTTAATAGTATTTTTAAAATATACACTTTAATTTTAAAACTGTGTATATACGGTATATTCTTTGTATTTATTATCTCACTCTTATTGCCTGTTTATGCCCTGTCCTTATCTTCAATGTCATGCTGCTCTGTTGTATCTTAATTGCCCCTTGGGGATAAATAAAGTCTTTCTGATTCTGAAAAAACTGTTGGCTCAGTTGATGAAGTAATATGTTATATCCTTATTCCTTTGTTATTTTATCCAGAATGCTGCAAAACTGTCATGGTCCCTGTGCCTCACCAGCTGATTCTGTATTAGGCAACATGTTTTCTCGCTCTCTCTCTCTCT